GAAGGTTTCGATCGGATATTTTGAAAAATTTCTTCACTGAAAGGGTTGTCAAGCACTGGGCCAGGCTGCCCAGGGCAGTGGTGGAGTCCCCATCCCTGGAGGTATTTAAAAGACGTGTAGATGTGGTGCTTAGGGACATGGTTTAGTGATGGACTTGGCAGTGCTAGGTTAAAGGTTGGACTTGATGATCTTAAAGGTCTTTTCCAACCTAAATGGTTCTATGATTCTAATCCCAAGTACCTGTTGCACTTGGTGTTACTTATGTTAAATCAGATTGGGAATCCAGGTGGCTCATGACATGGCCATAAAATCAAATGTGCTGGCACAGAACATAAGGACTGAGTTATTAGCAATAAAAATATTGCTTTCTGGCCTATTTTTGTTGCTAATACCTCTGTCATTGTCTTACAATGAAACTATCAATGTTGTTGGGTTTTATCCTATATTTACTGTCATGTCTTTTTGTTTTTCCAGCATTCATACATTAATTTATATTAATAAATTTATACAAAATAGCCTGTTAGTCAAAGCAATCACATCTTTCATGAAAGTTATTACAGATCAATATTGCTAGATTATTCCATTATTTGCCACAGCAAATTTGTAATTATTATTGTCATCTTACTATGAAGAGATGAATCATCCAAAAAATCCTCCTGGGATTCTTTAATTTCTCCAGGTCTTGATTCACGAAATTCATTCCTAAGTGAGATTTTCCACCACCTGAAAATTACCTACAATTGTGGAAGAAGAAAAATAAAAAAGGAAGAAGAAATGACTATCAAGTACCATGAGATAAATACATTGCTAAGATTCAGGACTCTGGTTGTGTAAATATTACTGCATTCCCAAAACAAAGTTATCGTAAGATAACACGGTTACATTACCAGCAGCCATACAACATGCTTCAAAGGACAATAAACATCCCATAATGCACCTAGACAAGTGTGAAATGTTTTTACATACAAAGAAAATGTTCCCAACCCCTGCGTGCAAATTGTTCGTAGAAATTAAAACACGTTTAATGACATCTCAACTTGCAAAACTATAAACAGCCTTTTTTTGTTTTTCATTTAGTGGCAGAAACACAATTCATCAGGCATTAAATTATGTGGTTAAGTAGAAATACCCATTCAACTGCTCAGGCACTCAAAAGCGGCAGTATTAGAAGTTAAACTGTCATTTTAACACTTTGTTAAAATCAAAACTAGTAAGACAATTCAAAGCTCAGCACTTAGACTGTCTGAAAACTCTGGAAAAAGGGCTCCAGAAGTACACATTCAACTCACATTTTCAGAGTCAGAAAAAGAAAAGAAAGCCTGCATTACAAAGCATGCAACTGAGAGAAAAGATGAATATGAATAGTAAATTATGTAGCTATGAAATGATGGAGAACAAGTAGCCCTGGCTATCAGTAATTTTCCCCGAGTTCTCTTAAAACATTACATATGTGCTTGAACAGTGTGTCAGCTTTTAATATTGACTTTTGTTTTGTTGCTGTCACAGCTGGGTCTACAGGAGAGGGAAGTCGTAATCATGTCTCTTCCTACACACAAGTTGTTAGCAAAGATCACACTCCAAGCCAAAAATAGGATTCAGTTGATGCTGTAGGGAAGGGTAAAAAAAAAAATTTTGTAATCTTACTAATATTAATCTGTTTTATTTCCTTCCATTTCATTGAGAAAAGTGAGGATTTTACATTGTTATATGTACAGGTGGATTCCTGACACACTGAGTGATAAAACTCACAAATGAGAATATTAGTGAGGTGTACATTTATAAACACACACACGTATATAAAAAATACACTCCATAGAATCTTATTTTTTCCACTGGCATGTAGAAGAGGAATATTAAAAGCAAGCTTTGAGCTAACTGTCAATAAGCCACAGAAGACTACTCACATACACTGACTGAAGAACACGGAGTTAAATTTACTATTACAAATCTGAGATCTGACAACAGTGGTTTACATCTCTCAACATGAAATTTAACTTCAGATCTCTCCAGTATTTCAGTGTCAAAATGTAGATTTTAAAGTTGAGAAGAATTAAGTATTTGTAACTCCCAATGAGTTGCATTCACTGTCATCATTAATTTTCAAATTAAAGCTCAGATTCCAGACAATCTGCCAAGGCAGGCCCACACCAATCATTTCTGTATTTTTCAAGTCTTGCTTCTATCCTGTTGATCTCTCATATACAGTAACAGTAAATAAGTTTGAATAAAGACTTAACATCTACATTTGAATGTCAAATATAGCCAGCTAAAATTTATCATTTTGATGTTTATTTTAGTTGTATATCATTATGGGGGTATCGGAAATACTAAATCGTATTTCTGATAGCATACATACATAATAGCTTCAATTAACACTCAGACATATCCGCAGTACTCTGTAAAATTTTCCTTATTATGTGAATAAAAGAAAAAACATCCTACTCAGTTGCATAAATTCATCCTATTTTACAATGACACAATCTTTATTCCTTTGCAGTGAAACAGTTGCCTCTTTGAAGGGAAAAAACCCCATTCATCCAATCTGCATTCTAGAATTTAATATATGAAAGATAAATTACACCACTGAAACATCTTATAATAGCAGAGTTAATATTTCTGTAATGTACATGCACAGTATAGACCACTGCGTCGCTAAAATAACACCACTTAATATACTAGTGGTAATATGAGGATTCAATGCAAAAGAGATTATAAACCACTTGTCGTTCTGTTTCGCTGATGATCTTACTACCTGGGAAGGCTTTAGAACTAGTATGTTTGTAGCCCAACACGGGGATAATAGGACAGTGAATGCTGTACTATACTGTACTTCCAAAAGCTCTTTTTATCTCTAGCAATGTAGGCGGAATCAGCATGTAAGGCTACTTCCATCCTTATTTGTGGAAAACATGAGGTGAGCATAAGGTCAGAACAAAACTGATATGCAAATGGAGAAAGAAAAGACATCTTTCTACACGTTCCTCAGCTTGCGTACCCTTCAAAATGGTATGCAAGAATACAGTATATTAGAGGGAAAAAAATCATTGTTAAAGGAGAAAAGAAACCTGGTTAATATGCTTTCTCTCAGCCTTTTCATGTTACTGTTGGAAGTGACATTTCTTAAAAAAAACCAGCAAAACCCAACATTTCTTGGCACGGAAATGCCACGTGTAACTGAAAAAGAAAATAGCCACCTGCCCCCAAAACCACTTACCAAAAATTATTAACTATGACTGTTGCTTTTCAACTTTTGAACTTTAATACCTAACAACATTCTTCAGATTAATTTTCTGTATGACCTTATAGATTTAAGTACACACAAATTTAGGAGTCTAATTCTTAAAAAAGCAGAACTATGTTGTACAACAGATTACAATGTGTTGTGAACTGTTATAAAACATTAATAAAAATACTTTTCAGTCTGGGATATACAGTAATTAAAGTAATTAAAAATTAAGTGTATACAGATAGCAGATGCTCACCTAAATTCTGCACTGGTGTAAGCAAGACGAACTTTTCACAGTAAGTATTCCATATATTTTTTTGTTTAGTATTTTGTGGGTATGAGTGTATTTATCTGTAATATAAGTTTATGTATACACAGGTGTACAAGAACACTAGAATGTGCATATGTGTGTATAGACTCTTGAATAAGATTTTATCTTTATACAATCCAACCAACCCTCAAACGGAACACTAAGTCAATACTCTACAAACGAAATACCTCTGTCCTATTTTCAAAGCAATTACAGTAGATGTTTTAACAAAGTTATCAAAATTTACTTTCTTGTAGTATTGTTGTACAATTATAAATTCCAAAGCATTTTAATACTAACTGAAACATGCCAAAACTTAAAAAAAATCACAGAAATGCATATTTCAATAATCTCTCCTCCTCTTAATCGTTATACTAGGAAGCACACTGCAACACTGCAATCTGCCAGAATGGGAAGATCAGGCCAACACGCAGAGGCACAGGAAAAGTAAAATATTCAAGTAATTATATTAAATGCCACTGTGTATTTTCTAAACATTATTCTTTGATTTACAGTGGAACAAACTGTCAAGAGCACTATTCCATTTTAAAACTTCCTTATGTACAAATACCCAGGACAAACCACAGTTACCTTGGTAATTTGTTAGCTGTTAGCACATGGTTATTTCATAGGAAACTATTGCATAGATTTTGTAATACCTATACTTTTTGCATAGATTAAAAAGATGAAGAATGGAAAGTATTATAAGAGCATTGTGGTTACCATGGACACATTTCATTCTCGATGTTATTTGGAGGTGCAAGTGTTAAAGCAATTCACTACCACATTGCTTACTCCACTGGCATTTCTTCATGAAAAAAAGAGAGAAGAGGAAAGGACGAGCAGAATCAAATCTAAACAGCAGCAACCAGCCGAGGCTTCAGATAAAAAGTCATAGCAATTTTCTAAACAAATAAAACAACTAAAATATTTAAGTGAAAATTAGCAACAAATAAATTATTTAGGAAGTGTCTATTGTCAAAATTAATCTGGACTGTAGATTACCAGAAGCACAGTACTATTTACATTGTATGAAGAAAATAATAGTTGAAGTTTGTCATATGGTGAGCCATCTTTTAAGGATGCTGGGCTCAACCTTCCCTTAATTTAATCTATTTCAGAAGTTATAGAACCAGAGACAAGTCTCACATAACAGACTCATACTGTGTAATGAAAAACCTCTGGGGAAAGCTGAAGAAAGACGGTGTGAATTGTGAAGCCCTGTTATAAAGGCGCATATGAGAAACTGTTTCTTTCTCCAATATACATTTTTAGGACTTCAAACTTCTCCAGACTCAGCTTTCTGCTTTGCTTAAAACTAGTAACTCAAAATAGAATTTCTCACATTACAGGCTATTTGGAGATTAATTTTCCCTATTTTTCTCTTAAGTTGTTCTACTTCAATAGTTAAACATTCATTGGAGGCGGAAGGTGACCCCAGAATCTAGAAAACAGTGCTTGCTGAGATTTAGGAGATCTAGATTCAAGTATTTCCTCTGTCCCAGGTGAATGGCCTAAATCCCCAGTCTTTCTTTTTGGCCTTGGATTTGTCACTGCAGTCCAAGCTCTCATTCCCCTGTGCAGTGAAGGAGCCATTGTGTCTTCTACTGAAAAAAGCAGTCACATTCTCAGTTAGTCTTAGTGACTTTACCTCTGCTAAATCCCTTCTCCCAGACTGTTTTATCCCATATTCTATTACTTTTCCACAGATTTAAAAAAAAAAAAAAAAAAAAAAAAAAAAAAAAAAAAAAAAAAAAATCTCTGCTTTTGGCTGGGTTTTGTGGATTGGAGGATACTATAAAAATTTATGTTGCCTTACTATTTGATTTCAAAATTAGAATATTCAAATGCTTCTGTCCCTCATTTTATCTTGCAGAATATTTTTGCATTTTTGCTACTTTTTCAAAAAAATCTATTTTTTTTTAAAGCATTTCATTTTCATGCACCTCAGTACAGAAATCACCCATTTCACCCTCACATAAATCTTTACAAAATAAAAGTGGAATAAATATCAGCATTACTGAAACATCTTCAAGGAGATAACTATAAGATAGATTTTTCTAAAGCTATGATCTGTATACCTAAATATCTTTCAGTTAATTGATCGTTTGAAACCAGTATCAGCTAATCTGTTGCCTAAGAGTTTGTAAACCTAAGCGCAATTTCCAAGCCATGAAGTCAAATGCCTTCACTAGCTA